GCCGCCGCCGACGTCGCCACCTCCCCACGCAGCGGAGTTGCAGAAAAATGAGGCGCGCGGCGCGTTTTCGGAAGGGCGCTGTTTTTCCCCCCCTTCACGTCCAGCTTCCGTTGCGCTGTGGTGCAAAGATAAATCACCTCATAAGTCTGCGCCCACAAGGGTCTCTGTCTACCGAGTCAGCCGCGTCCTTCACGACAGACGCCTCGCAGTCATAAACAAGTTTTTCGGCACGCAGGGCGCCATGCTCACGATCTTAACCTCCCCAACTCCTCTTTTGCCTTTATATGCAAAGGCTCTCCTGTCGTGAGTACAATCACACCGGTCTGTGTACGCGAATGCACTTGCACATTTATGCGCACAGCCTCTCCCTGGCGTCTCACACACTGGTGATCTGGTACGAGTGTCTGTTCACAGCACACAAGGCCGCCTGGCTGCCTGAACCACCAGATTTGCCGTTGAGACGCTATTACCATACCCAATACATCATAAAGGATTTTGGTTCAGTTGGAAAGAAATGAAGGGTGTGGTGTGTAAAGACCATAATTATAACTTAGCCTCATAATCTGTAATTTAACACAAATATAATCAAAGCTGATGACGGAAAATGGAAACAAGATTGAAATCCAGCCATTTACTGAAACGTGACACCTCACTGGCTTTGTGATTTACTGGCATTTTGTAACAAGGTACACCACCTAAAAAAAGCCAAAATGAGGTACCATCACCCTTGGATTCTGCTCAGGCCAAGGAGTTCTGAGTTCAATGTTTTGGTTTTTTTTAATATGTAATGACTTGGAGTTTGAGGATAAACTGAGTGTTCAAAGGTATGTAAGAACTGTTTTGATGTAATGTAATGTATGATGTATACAATATAATGTAATATATATATCATAATATAAATTTTAAACGAGTATGAAACTGTTCTTTCATGCAATAGATCTACTTAAAAGTAGAGATTTCAGAAATTAGGCTATGAGTACAGTAAACAATTAAACCCTAGTTGAGAATCTTTGGGGTGCTTTTTTTAATACTATGTATCCACTGGAGCTCCAAAATTCAGAGGTGCTGGAAGAGGAGGGTGTAACATTTTATTTTGAACCATTTTCCCAATTAAAACTACCAATTTTTAAAATATTGTTTTAAGTTTAACAAACTACTTACATCCTCTTTTTCTTTTCTTTTCTTTACAGTTTATTACATTTTATGGAATCAGACCGTAAGGGTTTAAACGGATCTTGGAAATCACAATCCCCTGCCAGGAGCAGGAATTTATTTGATTTATATCCTGCCCTTTTTGTACAACTCAAGGCAATGCACATAGTGTTCCCTCCTATTTTCCCCACATCAGTAGCCGGGTGGGGTAGGCTGAGGCAGTGTGACCCACCTAAGGTCACCCACCTGGCTTCCATGCCTAACAGTGGACTAGAATTCTTGGTTTCTAGTCCACTCTCAAGTAGTACAACAACTGAGCTTCTGTTTAAACACCTCCAGTGAAGTAGAGTCCACTGCTTCCCCAGGAAGTCTGCTTCATTGTTGAATTAACTCCCATCAGGACAACATTTTATCTGATGTCTTTCTATTTCAGTGTTTCTCAATATCAGCAACCTGACAATGCGTGGACTTCAACTCCCAGAATTGGCTGGAGAATTCTGGGAGTTGAAATCCATGCATCTTCAAGTTGCTGAGATTGAGAAACACTGATCTATTTCTTTAAGTAACTACTTCTTTACTCCCCTTGGGTTGCTATTCCCTTCTTTTGTTAGTTGTTCTACTTAGGTCCATTTGATCACAATTCTCCTTGGGGGAGAACACTGAAGAATGTAGAAGTTGAGGATCTTTTTCTTCTCCCCATCACGTATTACTCTCTTACATCTTCTCTTAGTACTTTTTCTTCTTTTTACTACTAATATAGGCAAGAAGCTCTTTTTCCTGCTTTTAGTTTCCTTTGCAAACCTAAGTTCCTTTTGCTCTTTAGTTCTTCTAACTTTCTGCAGATATTAGCTACTTTGTGCTGCAACTCCTTGGTGATTACATCCATCATTCATTTCATATGCATGTTCTTTTAAATTCTTAGCTCTGTTGAAAGCTTCCAATGCATCCACAATAGTTTCCTGGACTACCTTTCCTTTTTTTTTTCATCATTGGAATGGTGTGCAATTGTATTTCTTAATAAAATAAAAATGTAAGTATTTTATGTTTTTAGAAGCTACCAACCCTACTACCCTTTGGTTTGAGAATTTTGTGTTCATGGGATCCCACCTACTACTTTTCTAACTTTGTTGAAATTGGCTTTCTGTGCATGTATTGCTATGTTCCCATTTCTCTTTCTATGGTATCTTAAATCCCAAGATGATATGGTCACTTCCTCCAAAGTTTGCACAGCTTTTACCTCTTCAACACCTCTTTCATGGTGGTTAGGATTAGATCTAGGGAAATGAATGCTATTGTCCCTTCTTCAATCATCTGAAAAATGAAACTGTCAGCAAAACTATTAAGGAATCTCCAGGACTTTGCAGTTCATTTTCCAACAGATGTCTGAGTAATTAAAGTCTTCACTTACTATTATGTGTCTCCTCCTGTCAACTATTCAAGGTAGTCAGGGTCAAGAAACAGAAGACAGGGATTCTAGGAATACTCCTCATTGTTGGGTAGAAGGATAACAGAATCTTGAAAGCCTGTCAAGAATTTCTCTCTACTCCATCTTATACCAAACAAAATGAAGGCAGGGTTATTTGGAGTTCCTTCCTTATGTTTTTTTCTTTCTCAGAATTGAATAATATTTTCTGGAAATCCTCCCTTAATGGGTCAATCATTCCTTCTACCTTCCCAGAATCAGATCTATGTTCTTTCCCAACTCTCTGATCTTTTCTCCTTTGCTCCTTTTATCATCTAGTTTTAGGACTTGTGTGGAGAACCAATCACATTTTAGTCATATTTATGAAGAAATATTGAAAATGCAAAAGGGTTCACAAACCTGTAACTACCATTGTAAATATACAGTGGCTGTTGGAGAGCATGCAGTAGACCTGAACATGAAAGCTTATGCCCCACAGTGTCACCTTTAATGCGATGGGATTCATTAATAATTCTCACATTAATTATTAACAGCTTGACATTGATGAAACAGATTAGTACAACTTTTCCTTATTTCTGTGTATTTTGCCATAAGATAGGAGAGTGGTTTCCATGTGAAAAATAACATGAAGGAAAGGGATTATTTATTTATTATTTATAAAGGTATAGACAGGATTAATCTAAAAAAGATTCTAAGACATGTCCATAAGAGCAACAGTGGTAAACTACTCATAAGAATAATATCCAGCTGTTTGATTGCACTAATAACTATAAAAAAAAATCTACAAATCTTCTGAAACAGCCAAGTTTTAACAAAATTTCAGAAGGCCATGAAAGCAGGAGCCATCCTTGCTTTAGAAGGCAAGCTTTTCTAAATGAATGGCGTCCCCACAGAGAATGCCTGTGGTCATGCCCTTTCTGGTCAACCTCATGGTTACTCTCTTACATTAGTGTATCGTGCACAAAGCAGGTTTGGGAAAGTCATAGCTATTTTAATCTTTAAAGAGAGAGAAAGAGATTCTCTTAGATCTCTTGAGTCATCTACCATGGCCACAAGATAAAACAATGTTTTACACTGTCCAATTTACTCCTCTTAGAACTAGGAAGGTATAGCTCCATTGAAAAAGAAAATTGGCATCACACCACACTGTGACCACAAATTTGATGAACACTGTAATTTGTTTAATGCTAAAGGCTACTCTTCTGCTATGGAATGTAATTGCCATTGCTAGACAAGCTGAGAAGGTATTATCTAAATACATTAAAGATCTGGGTGTAGCAGTCTCTGTCTCAGGGCAAGATAATGAGTTGACTCAAGTCTCCATCAATCCAACCAACCTTTTTTTACATGTGGAGGCTTCACTGTTAGAGAATTGTGTTTACTGTATACTATAAGCTGTTGTATTTTTCCATTCATAGTGTATAACTTAGGAAGGAAGATTGAAATTCCAATTGAAGATCCTGCCAATAGATTATCTTTTAATGTTCCTAAATGGCTCTCAGAGCAGTCCACGTGATACCACAATAGAAGCAAGGGACAAAATTCAAAATTAATAAGGGGAGACTGTAGGCATAATTTGTGCAGTATTTATTTAATAAGCCAAATGGAATTCAACAGGAAGCATATGCTCCAGCTTCCTATTTACTGTTTCCTTGTTTGTTTATTACGTTTATGTTAACACATAATAAATACATTAGGTTTTTAGGTCCCAAGAGCATCTTTGTGGTTTTTGACATGAGCAGAGTAACAGGTCAGTTTGCCATTTAACTTATTCCTAGTATATCTTTAACCAAACAATAAACACTATAATGGTTTTTAAATCAGTGAAGGAGAAGTGTGTTTGCTGAATAGATGAATATCCGTTTGGACTTCACAAAGGGTCAGGTTCCAAGCAGACACATTCTGGGCATTAGTCTAAATGACCTAGAAGGTATATGTGTACTCCATAGCAGGCAGAGCTCAGAAGTCCAATGCAGGGGGGAAAAACCACATTCAGACAACTCGAATGCAGGTGAATAATCAGAACCAGGAAGAGCCTGAAATACAAATTATCAAAGAGATCAGAGGAACTAGAGAAATAAGAACACATAAAACTAGAAATGAGTCAAGAATGCAGTAAAAGATCAGAAGGGCTAGAAGCAGATGCAGAATGTTTAGGGATCAAGCTGCATATGTCAATCAGAAAAAGTGCAGGAGCACAGACAGTATTCCCAAAACAAATATCAATTATCCAGGTTGAAGATCAAGCTCAAGTTAGGACCTTAGAAAGCTTGGTGAAAATTGGACCTTGACTAACTGAATGCCTAGGCAGGTTGATCCTTTAACCTAAGAAATAGCCTTGAGGGGCATTTTTTTAGGTTTGCGATACAAGAAATACAGTATTATCCATATCACAGGAACTAATTTGTCTGAGAC